AAATCACATTTTGCTACTTTAGAGGTTTGAACCTGATGGTGAACATTCCGTCAAAAAGCTTTTCGTTTATTAAAATCATTGTTGACATTTTAAAGAAGAAAAAACTGTTATAAATTACCTTCACAATTGGACAAAACATCACTTTAACCGAGATCGATAAGAAAGTCCTTTAAATCCTTTTTTACAGGTATTTCACTACTTCACAACATAAAACTAAAACTGATGATGCTTACGCGAGGGCGCGAAATAAGTAAATAACGTATTTTAGGGCATCGGGCCATATTTAGCAAATTTTGCAAAATATATTTATATATAAAAAAAATATTTATTATTTTTTACTTAACACAGCTTAATTGTAAACATGTAAGTTTTATATAAATAAATAATTATTTTTATAAAAAAACGTTTTATAAAGAAAACATATTCAACAATAAACATGTATTTGGTTTGGTTTTTATAAAAAAATATTTATTTCTTTTAAGCAAACTCAATAAAACAATTGACATATTAAATAAAAATATAATAATTTTGCCGTATTGAAACAATAAACAAATACTTGTTATTCAGAAACAATATTTTTTAATTATAAGGGTCATTTTCAAGAAAATGAAGATCAAATTTTTTTTTGCTTAAATTGGCTTTTGGTTGGATTTTTATAAATGTTTAGAGTTTTTTTTACTTACATTTAAGACAGGCAGTGCACTTTTTAATTTTTTTTTACGATTTTTTTAGAAAAATGTGAGTAGCTAGCTTTATATGGGATATTCTTATAATAGGAGCAATCTTGAGTATAAGAAATTAAAAAAAAAACAGTTACAGAAAATTTTGAAAAACTACTGTTTTATAAGAAATGAATAAAGTTTATGAAATAATGAGTCTGTTGAGCTCAATTTTTAATTTTGGGTCTTTTTCAAAAATCCATATCCACGCCAATGACTAAGAGGCACGCTAATGACAGTTTTCATTGAATAATGATAGAAAATATATTTTTAATATTTATTTATAAGTAAACATTGGTTACAAAAAAAATTAATAAATTAAGCATATTTTATCAATTTCCTCGGAGTTTGGTACTTTAAAAAATCTATTTGAAATTGGCTGTGGTGGCAAATCAAGTTTACATAATATACCAGCTTCTGTAAAGATTTGTCGATCAGTTGATCCAGGCCAATAAAAATATTTACCACTTCTTGCCATAAAGGTAATAGTTATGTTTTTTCCATTTATATCCTCAATTATTCCTAAAAATAATTTACCTCAGTGCTCGATATTAATCAAAAAAAGGAGACATACCTGGATACCATGTCTCTGTAAATTGCAGCTACCCATTGTAAATGTAATGCTACTTGCCGGTTTATGTAGATATTAAACCTGCAGGTTCATGAACAGAAGATGGCACTAAAACCCGGTTTTTCAAAAGTGAACTTACGTCTTTTGCGAATTAGGTTAACGATATTAAATTTTATCCGAAATCGCATTTAATAATTATAAATTATTTACCTTTTTAAACAGTAGACACCTTCTGCATTAAAATTTGAATCGAATGTCATTTGAATGTAGTGTCCATGGTATACTGTTTGTTGCGATGGTTATGACAAAGATAATATATTATCTTATATTATATTATATATTATTATATTATATTATTATATTATATATTATCTTTGGGTTATGATATATTTGCCCGCCGCGGCGATTTTTAATTTAATTAATAAAATTAACTTATTATTTTTTTTTTAATTTTATGAAAGGTTCCAATTGATCTCCGCGAAGGTGCTTTTTTTAAAATATTATTTAGTTGCTGCTAAGGAGCAGTAATGGTTTGCATACAATGCTCGTATTAAATCGGTACTAAAGTTCTACTTTACTGCCGATTTCTTTTACTTTAATGTCGATTGTTGACTACTTTACTGCCGATTTTAGATAAAAATATCTTATTATCATTATTCGTACAAAATATCATTGGCGTGGATAGTCCGTCATTAGCGTGGACAAAAAAGTCCACGCTAATGATGAAAGTAAATATCCACGCCAATGACTAAATTAAGGTTAAGGTACTTTGGACAGCAAATGGATTAATGAATTTAATTTAAATTATGCATACCTTTTGTAGTTGTCACTGATCATTAATTATTCTCAATATTTTTCTAATAGCTTTTAGATAAACAAAATTGTCACTAGCACTCCAATGATGCACATTAAACATACGCCCATGAAACACATAACAACTTCACACTTCCTAGTTCGCGTTTGGCGCCAAATCAAGTAAATAGCGTATACCAAAATGTTTATAATAACGGTCGCTAACTGGAAAATTTAAAGTAGGCGGGAATTTTAAATACGTATCATTATAATCCACGCTAATGATGTCAAACTCAGGGACACATTTAAGAAATGTTTTTTTTTCAATTCAATTTTATTTTTTTGTCTCAATCCCGCTTAACATATCTTAAAAAGTGTTGTCTATAATATACTATTGCTAGAGTATTTATGGACAGTTTCTTAATTTGCAAAAAAAAAATATTCTGGTGAAAGGATATCCAGGGACATCCACGCTAATGACAATTTATGTAATTAAAGGGAAAATGTATCGAATTGGTTTTATTTTATTATTAAGTTAATAGGTGTATGAATAGGGTCAATAAACCCCTAAATAAATATAAAATAAAAAATGGTGAACATGCACTTGACTGAGCATGGCAAGTCAGGGACATAAAATTTCCCCTATTGTAAGAATGACCCATATGTCTCCACTGTTTACCAATTTGAAATCCAAAATTTAATTCAATAAAAAAAGTTGTTATAAAAATATTTTGAAATAAAATGTACTTAGTTCACAAACTTTTGACTCCAATTTTATTTTTTATTAAAAATTGTATGCTTTTTTTAAACATTTATGTTAGTTAAGTTACTTTTTAAAAGACACCATTACGATTCTTTTGGTAAAAAAACAATACCATTCATATTTTCTTTTAGTTACTGTATTAGTGAGTTAAACTCTAATTTATAAACAGGTATTACCAAGTGATAGTAAAATCATTTTAAGGATTTTTTTTTTAACAAAAACTAAAAAAGTAACAAAATAGACATTGGTATCACAACGGACTGGGGTACACAAAGGACTTAAGCAGATAAGGTAAAAAAGAAACTATATAGGGTGGTACGATTTTAGAGTAATGCATAAACAAAATCCCTTGTAGTGGTGCTCACTTGCAGAATAACAACTTAGATTTCTAAATTATAGACACCCTTTTTCTTTGACTATAAGCTGGTGTCTTTTAGTACTTGTATATTGCGTGGAATTTTCCCTTGGATGTAATCTATATCATGAGTTGTAATCACAAATAATTTTAAATTGGTTTATCATAAACTACTTTTAATAAAGGCGACGGTAAATATCCACTTTGTTGTCGAAAAATTTTATTGCGTTACCCTAAATTCCATTGCGTTACCATAAGGTAACGTAATGGTCAAAGTTTTGTGAAACCATAATAAAAAATATCTGGGACATGAGTCTGGGACATGAGTCAAATTTAAAAAAAGTAGAGTATGAGTATGAGTATAAGAGACGTATAACCAGCCCCATTTCCTCTTGACTCTCGAACCCCGTACAGGCCTATGTTTACTTACGCCGATTTTTGTTCTTCCCCAGCAACTGCACGGCTTCACCTGTGTTTGCTGGGTGCGAATGTCCATTGCGTTCCGTACTGTCCCCTATTTGGGGCTCGAGAGCGAGAGGCGAATAGTTTTAATAGCCATTCTCGGGTTCGCCGAGCCTATGCTATACGCTCAGTGGGGTATAGGAGGAGGGACGGGAGGGTGTTGGTTTTTGGGGACAATTACGCCGAATTAAAACTAAGTACGACGCGCATTTTTTTTTACTGTGTTAGGGTTATTATGATTAATGTTAGTTTATTCTGTGAGTCTAGTGTTTATTTTCGGTTTCGTTTGGGATTGCATTACGCACTTGTTGTTGACAGATTTATTGCCCTACCCTGTGTGCCTTTCATATGTTTTAAAGATATCTGCCGTATTTAGATTGCAGATTTTGTATTAGGTCATGCATATTCTTAAGGTAACTTATCAATTTTTTTGCGGATGGCCACCTCCCCTCTTGTTTGACCTCCTTTGTCTGTCCAGTGAAAAGCGTCCAATGACAGGTGGCACTCATTCATATCACTTAACACTTCACTCCTCAATGAACGGTACACCACTCTAGCTTGCACTCTATAAAAATTGTTTGGTTCACTTTATTAGTTTGCACTTTTTAAAAATTATTGTTGGTTTCAATCTTTATACTTTTACGTTTTAAGAGCCTTCCCACACGCTGGAACCTGATTAATTAATTTATATATAAATTGTTTACTTTATTAACTAAGGATGTTATGGATTGCTATAAAGCAACACAAAGTTCTGGTTATTCAATATTAAAAAAAACATGTATGTAAGTTTTATAAAACGCTAATGGGACATGCAAAAATGTGTGTTTCACAAGTTTTAAAATTAAAAAAAATTACTCTGAAATAACTAAACAAACATTTTCTAAAAGAATTTACTAAGGGCTTTTAAATCAATTTTAAATCAATAAGATCCGATAATTTTTAACAAAGTTATTGGATTTCAAACTTACGGACAGCGGAAGGCGGGTGTTTTTTTGAAAACGACCCATAACTGAAAACTAGAAAATATATGATTTGTTTATTACAATAGTATGATTTCTCTTAGTGTACCATTCATATTTTGTTTGCTTGTTTATTTGTGTTTTAAATTTTAAAGAGTTGTTTTCAGATTGTTTTATTACATCCTCATTAATCGTATTTTTGCTGTAATTATAATTTTCTTCAAATTTCCTTATCAAATTAGTAATTTCAACCTTATTAAAATTTTACGCCGGAACCCCTTGCTAATTAAAACGATCAAGAAACGCGCTTAACAAAGTACTTAGAGAGTATAGAGCTAATCAGACAGTCCCCGTCGCTGATTGAAGTTTGTCTTTACAGTCAGTCCCAAGGTGCATGTTCAGAAGTCGCTGGTCGGAGCCCCTCAGCACGCCACTGCGAAGCTCAAGTGCGACGCCGAAGCCTTCCCGAACTCGAACAACTACTGGGTGAGGGAGAACGAAGTTGTCCTAAACGGGTAAGTTGCATGTTGGGAGACAGATCGCCGGGCGTGCCGGGACCTAATATCGTTGCGATTTAAATTTATGTTAATGTGCTTTGAGGCAGATGAGACCCGTTTTATAACACTATAAAGTGACTGATACACTATCTAGTTCAATACTTGGAATAGATTTAAATGTGATTAGCGCCAAACAGAACTTGATGATGATTAGGTACTTAAATTGTGAAAATAAATTTTTGCTTCCACCCATAATATAACAAGTGGTATGATTTTCATCGATGATATTTTCGAATTGAAACCGAGCTGCAGATTTCACGAGTCCGCAGGACGAGTGAAATGTACTGCTTCGGTTTCAATGACTAAATATTATCGATTATAATCGATAATATTTAGTCATTGAAATAATCATTAATCATACCACGAGTTATATTTAGTGATAAAACATAATGAATTTTAGGATATAACGAAAAAAATAAAAAGACTTTAATAAACACTATTTATTCGAACTTGCCTTAATTTCATTATCGTTTACACCAACCCATCGATCTTTTAGAGTTTATAATTCATTATTTAAATCATATAGCAACCACAGGATTTAAATGTCAACAAATGTCAAAATCCTTAGTAACGTGTAAACAAGGTGATAAAAAATATTGTCGCTGTGATAAAATGCGTAACTATGGAATAGTGGCATATTATAACAATTTTCATATTTTTACAAATCTTGTACCCAGTTCAAAAGTCAAATAATTCAAAATTATTCATTGTTTGTCTTCGTCGTAGATTTATTAGACACTCATTTTTTATAAAACACTCGCTTTCAAGCTTCGCTTGTGCCTGACGAGCTTTGACTTTATGACATTTTAGTCATGGGCTGAAGTAAAGAACGGTGGCTTCTGGGCATTTTAGTCACGGGCTGATGTAAGCTTTATTGAGGTTACATTCGTCAGATAAAGTTTAGTATGCAACTCGTTTTATAAACTTAAAAGAATTCTCTACACAAAAGTTTTAAACACTCGCTCGCAAGCTTGGACAACATTTACGTTTACAAAAAATTTTAATTTCTTTTATATAAATTCTTTTCAAAGCGAAGATTATTATCCTCTAGAAATACTTGCTCTTCTGGGCCGTAAAGCAACCTATATTTAACCCGTAACCGGTACTGTGGTGTCTGGGAGACACTCATCAACGAATAAAGCCCTGTCCCACCTTCACCTTTTGTTTTAAAAATCTGTCGCTTCCAATACTTTTAAGTTGAGCAGTTATCAATATGCTCTCAGACTTTGAACAAGTTGGATTGTCAAACGGACAAATTATTACAAGTCAAAGTGTTGAGGTGTCTAGTAGACCACTGTGTACCGTTTACGTAATTTTTATAAAACAATAATTATTAATTCGTTATGGATTCGCATATAAAACAATAATTATTAATTCGTTATGGATTCGCAACAAGGGCCTTCTAAAAGTGTCCAAAGTGATAAGAAGGGCTTCAAGGAAACTGTAATAATGTGGTTTTATGAAATCTACAGCGATATAAGTGATATGAGACATTCTTTTACATATCGTACGGATTACAGAAAACATATTTTTTCAAATTTTTAAAATGACTTAATTTTTTTTTACAGTATCTTTTCATAAATTTAGCCGACCCCTATATCGGAATTTTTGCAGAAAATTTATTTTTCCAAAGATATATTGATTTAAACTTTTGATAAAATTTGAAAAAATGCTGAATTCTTTTGTACTTAAAATTCATTATCTCCGGTTCTACTGATCGGATCGATTTCATTTTTTTTTTATTTTAAACCATATTACATAGTCTTTTTAGATAAATATTTAAAAAGTTTGTGTTTTGTTTATTATATGAAAAAAATATTTTTTTTTTGTATAAACAGATTTTTTGTGTTTGCCCCCTCTATGAAAAAAAATTAAAAAAATACTGTTCTATGCACTATTTATTACTCTACAAAATGAATTTTTCAGAAAAATGGAGACTTTTTTGGATCGGAAGATATTAAATATTTTCGAGCGCGTGACCAGTACAAGCCGTAAGGGGGCATCCATTAATTACGTGAGGAGTTTAGGGGAGGGAGGGGGTCAAGCCAAATCTCATCAATTCTCACGTAAGGGAGAGGGGGGGTCTCGGCAAATATCACGTAATTTTTAACAAAGTATGTTTTTTTAATAAATCCAACAGAATCAAGCAGTTTAACGTATAAACATTAAAAATAAGCATTTTTTAAAATCTCACGTGAGATTAGGGGGAGGGGGTTGAGCCAAATCTCACGACATCTCAGCAAGGGGGGAGGGGGGTCAAAAAATCTCTAAAATTGACTCACGTAATTAATGGACACCCCCTAATCAGACATCTTCGAAACGCTAACACATTTAGGATTAGTGATGCCGCCGATACGAGAGATTCTCGCCTCTCGTCTCGTCTCGTCTCGACGAGACGAGAGGGAGATTTTCTCTCGAAAAAAGGCTCGAGACGAGACGAGAGAATGCCCTCTCTCGCTCTAGAATTTCTCGTTTCTCTCGATCTCTCTCGTTCTCTCGATTATTCCGGTAATAAGTAAACAATTTTTTTACATAAAAATTTTAATTTTGCGATATTTATTTGGACCAATGAGAACATTATTCGCATTTCATAATAAACAAAATTTGTTCCTGTATAACGTTTTATTATTTTATAACACAACTTAAGGTTAACCAAGAAAAAAATTACTTATAAAATAATATTAATTTTTAAAATTTACCCTGTATAAGCACATTTATGGCACTCCTTATACTATTAAACAACCCGTATGCTTAATAAGCATTGCTTATTCAATGAACTTATCAACAACATGTGGTTTTTGAGGGGCTGATTACAAATTTGATATCCATTTCTTCAAAAAATAAAATGGCTGATCCAATATGACGAAAATTTGTCGTTCGGCTTTAATGGTTTGGGTAAAATTTAGTATTTAGATATTTATGGGGCCCCTGATTAAGAATTTGATATCCATTCAAAAAACAAAATTGCGGATTCAAAATGACGGACATGCGCAGTAGGTACAAGATGGTTGGATCTATGTGGAGTAGTTACATCATATAGACGCAGTAGTTTTCAGATGGATGGATGATTTGATCCATCCATCTGAAAACTACTGCGCCTATATACTACACTGAGAAAAAAAATGGGACAAATAAACTGTGTAGTTAATCCTTTTATTAATAGTGAATATATTGTTTATTACCTCTAAATAGTCGAAATAATAACGATAAATATAAATATATATATAAATATTTTTTTTATTTGGGAGCAATAAACTTTTTTTTCAGTGTTACAGTTACATCTATAGATGTAACTACTCCACATAGATCCAACCATTTGATTCAAATGTGCGACATTTTCGGCGTAAAAAGTCTTACTTTATCAGTGTGGTCTTGGCACAATTTTTGTTTATTTCCAGTTTAAATTTATATAGAAAAAATATAAACGATTACGTATTTAATTGCAAATAATTTTTGTATTCATACATAGGTACTTTTACCACGAGAAACGAGACGAGACGAGAGAAAGGCACTCTCGAGCGAGAAAAGAGTATTCTCGACGAGACGAGAGACCCATTTTCTCTCGCTGCACGAGACGAGAGAAGGACTTTTCTCGTCTCGTCTCGTCTCGCGGCATCACTATTTAGGATAGTGTAAACTCATACATCGTTTTAAAAAAATACCAGCGCTTTTTTTAATTAATTCTGATTTTAAAGGTTTTCAATAATTTTAAATAAATTAAATTTTAAATAATACAAACTCCAATTAATGAGTAAATTTATTAACTGGCAGAATTGACATTTGCACAAATAAGTCACCAATTAAAAGATGTCGAATCATGGCACTCTTATACAAAATATCATATTATACAGAATATTACGCGCTTGACAGTCCTGTCACGCGCTCGAAAATGTTTAATATCTTCCGATCCAAAAGAGTCTCCACTGTTCTGAAAAATGTATTTTGTAGATAAAGAAAAAGCGCATAAAATAGTATTTTTTTCCTTTTATTTTATAGAGGGGGCAAACATGAAAAACTAGTTTAAAAAATTAATCTGTTATTAACTCCCTATACCAAAAAAAAAAATTTTTTAATTTATTTATTTGAAAAGCCTATTCAATAAGGTTTAAAAAAAAAAAACAAAATCGATCCGATCAGTAGAACCGGAGATAATGGGTTTTATGTAGAAGAGAATTTATCTTTTATCGCAATTCATAAAAACTTTATATCAACATATCTCTGAAAAAACAAATTTTTTACAGAAAACCTGATACACGTATCTGCTTATTTACTGAATAGAAGCGGTAAAAAAATTTTCATGCGAATCCAAACCCTGATGTCAAAATAGGTGTACGATTTGTAAAAGAATGTCTCATATAGATGACTGTAGTATACTACATAACCATTATAGTGATTATGTCGTTGAAGATAATCACAGCAGCGATTCAGGACTTGTCTGTGAAGAGTCTATAGAAAATAATTTTATAGGGTCAGATAGTGAAGAATTTGAAATTTTTTAAGAATTTGAAAAAAAAAACAAAAAAGTTACTATGGAAAAAATAATTGTAAAAATCAGCTATACTTTGAAGCAGTTATTTTTGCTGTTAAAAAAAGATATATTTGAATTTTTTTTGTTTATGTTATTTTTTAAGGTATATTCTTCGAAATAAAGGTCGTTTTATTTTGTTTGGTTTAATATTTTTTATAGTTTAATCACAAAGTTTGCACTACTGCACTTTTTGTACATGTTTTGATTAAAACCTATTTGTTAAATTTTTCTTTTATTTAGGTATTATTTTTGGTGATATTCTAACTTTATATATAGTTCCTAGTATCCCCAAAGCCTCAGATAAAAAAATAATATAAATTATAATTTTAAAAGGCAGGTGTCTCTCAGACCCCTTAGTACCGTTTATGACCTGAAAGTCGTACTGTACCGGTTACGTGTTAACTACTTTTTTTATATGATTTCACTCATC